GGAACCGTTTATTGTTGGCGCCAATTACACTTTTGTTGCCTTGAGCAACATCTGGCTCTCAAAAGTCTCATCGTACATCTTTCCTCTTTTCTATGTTAAGATATCGTCCGCTGCGCTGAACACTATTTCAATCCACCTTTTCCAACTAAGTGCTGCCACCTGGACGCGCTACTGAGTGTCTAGAAAACAACGCGTTTGCAGGGCCTCTTCTACCTTTTCGACAGCCTAAACGTCAGCTAGATTCGATCGGCCCATTGAGACGCTGTGACCTAGATACGGCTCCCCAAACTTCGCTTCTGCCCCAGTGTGGATTATCTTCGTCTCAGAAGTTGATACAAAGAAGTCATCTTCCCTATCTCTCTCTCTCTTGGAGAGAGAAAAGGAAAGAAAGAGTAATGCGGACAAAAAGGAAAGGCGCGCTGATATCCGCTACATTAGTTCGTGTGCACGTTGGCATTTTTTTTCGCTGAAGGAAAGCAGTTTGACCACGGGAATTTGCCTATTATTGTTTGCACGGAGTATCCGGTGCTTTGTATCAATGTGCTTCCCTCTTCGTTGTGGGCGAGCAAGTTGCCGAGTTACAATTCGCAAACAACGAAACCACAAGAAAAGAAGATATTAGATTCGAGGTTTAAGGTGACATGAAGAAAGACTGAGAATCTGAAGGACGTCAGGTCTTGCGTTTTGTAAGTGCAGGTGGCATTATGATTCCGATAAAATTTACACTTACTAAATAAAAATTATTTTTTGTCAATATTCAAAATTTTTGTTTTAATGCATTAACTGCCCCATGGAGCGAAGCCGGCGTTGTCTGTAGCCGTCGTCTGTAGCAGCGAAAACGGCACCTAAATTCCAATTGGCTGAGCGAAACGGCACCCGAATTCCCATTGGCTGAGTGGAACGGGCAGCTAAATTCCCATTTCCAATAAAACATAAATAAAAGCACAGCAACGCAGATGCTTCGTCGCGGAAGCCGGCGAGTGCGCTCAAGACCTGAGCGGACGTGCCTCGGAAATAAAACACAAAGAAAAGCACAGCAACGCAATGCTTCGTCACGGAAGCCGTCGTGAAGCCAGCGGGGTTCGCCGCGTCTGCGCAGTGGGGGAGCGTGATGTCACCGCCGGAGCGCCTTGTGCGAAAGGAAAACATGGCGCGCTGCTTGAAGGAATGCGCTGCCCGTGTAGGAATGCTTTCTCATTTCTACACGTAAGTAGTCTTAATTGTCTCTGCCGAATTTTTTTCCTTCCTGAATAAAGATGAAAATGTAATAGATTACAATCATTCACTTATGTCAAAAGGTAAGTAAATTACTTTAGAATTGCCTTCTAAAATATGTAATTATTCCCTTACAAAAAATTGCTGATAAATGTAAGGGATTGCAACTAATTTCGTTACTTTCAACGGATTACGTACAAGTCTACTAACTCATCTTTCCCTATATAATTACTTTCTAAACTAAGGCACACCACATCAGTACTACCTTTTACGAACTGCCAGAATAAGAAAAACCACGAATATTCCACGGTGGTCGCTCTGAATAATATGCACCTCATGGCTCTCCGGTTAACTTATCTTTCATAACTTTGTTATGCCCATATGGCATGAAGATAGCCCATAGGGGGCAAATGCATTTTAAGCAATTCATAGGACTGCCTCACTGTTATCACGTCGTTCATTACCCGTCCACTGGCGTCCGCCCGCGCTGCGTGTGGCCTGCAGCACCCGGGCAAATTCCGAATAATAGCACTTTTGTCTTTGGCGGTGTTTTCTTTGCGCCGAACGGCTGCTGCGATGAACTGTCCCCCGCGGACTTGTTCCGCGATCATTCATGGATGTCTCCCGCTATCTTCTTCTCACATACCAGCAACTCGGTAATGGTGCTTGGTTTGTTACAAACGTCGAGGGCATTAACCCTCGGCTAGTTAGAGTGTGATCAATAATGCAACATTACTGTCGTCATTTATACTATATACACGGTTTAGGTAATAGCGCTTTATTTGCTAAGAGGCACACACCGCAAATTTTGACGGAGGCGGTATGCATTAGCTATGAATTGCAACAATCTAATATGTAAGTTGGGAGCATTTACTCGGTTATTAACGAATCAGGTAATATCATTCCATCGTATCAAGCTGATTGTGGCGTCAGGGGCTGCAATGCGCAACGTTTGAACACTGAGTTTTTATTTATTTTCTAACTTTGTTATTTGTTTGCTCGGTTAATTAGAGTACTGTATGGGGTATGAAAACCTCTCTGAACTTTTAGGTTCATACTCGGCTCTATTGCAAGGCAAAGACATACTTCGTAAACGTTTTTTTTTTTTTTTTTTGGCCAACGGGGCGAATTCTCAGGAACCCATCAAGAAGACGACTCGCTTTCAGTGTCCATCATATAGAAAGAAAAGGATGTTCCTTCAAATTACGAGCGTCAAGCAATCGCTGCACTTAAAAAAGAGGTCGCCGCCTTCGATAACATTTCTTCATCTACTCTACAATAGCGTGAAAAAAAAAAGACAGTATCCTAGGAACAATTCTCTGTCGTTTCTTTTTATACGCACATCATTCTTTCTTCCATTGAAGCACTAAAGCACCGAAGCAAAATTATAAGAGGTTTCGGGGGACAGCTCTTTCTTCACAATCCTGCAAAACCACGAAAAAAATACTTTGAGTGAAGCGTGCTGTGTGATTCATTTCAATTTGAAAACAGCCGTCGACATTTTGGGATAAATTTCATTTCACTTAATTTATTTGTACCTTTAAGGCCTAGTTTGAAGCATTACATAAGGAGGGAAGTTTACTACAATAAACCAACAAATAAACGTAATATTATAGAATAACATGAACTATAAGCTATACGGAATATAATACAACTGAAAGAGCACTCACAAAAGATGGATTTAAAGAGCATTTCGGAACGCTGTTGAGCCGTTGATGGTAACTATTGATGATGGAAGCTGACTCCATTCGGAAATGACGAGTGGAAGGAATAATTCATACAAAGCATTGATCTTACTCAACAATTCGTTTGATAGCACAGGAGTTACTTAGGTGGGAAGGTATCCTTCTGGGAGTGATATTAAAGAGTCATTGAGGTCTGAGCAACAGTAATGCTTTTTTTTTTTTTTTTTTTGAAGAAGGCAGAGTCGGAAGTATTTTCTTCAGTAGTGCACAAAGGTTAGTCCGAGTTTATTTTTAAGGCAGAAACACTAATGAAATAATCGCGTGATAATAAGATGAAACCAGTGGCTTTATGTTGCACTGGTTTTGAAGCGTTGACAAGGTATGATTGACGTAGATTCCAAATATTTGCTGCATGCTCTAGTTTGGTCCAACGTAAGTTTTATAAGCCATTACTCGAACATGTGGAGGGGCATCTCGTAAAGCTCGTCTGATAAAACAGAGAGTCTTGGATTGTTTTTGGCAGAAATGGTTTCAATATTGGTTTTCTAAGAAAGGTTAGAAGTTAATTTGATGCTAAGACATTTGTGCATGGAAACAAGTTCAATGGCTTCGTTGTCTATGGTACACTGATATGCTATCAAAGACTGTTTTCTGGTGAACTGAATTGATTTACACTTGGATTTGTTTAAAGATATTAAACATTTTCTGCACGAGTGGCCAATTTCCTCGATATCATTTTGAAGTTGATAGCTGTCGTTTACTTATGCAATTTTGTTATCTATGACATAACTATTTGCAAAAAGCCGTATTTTAGGGTAAAGTTTACACAGAAGACCGTTAATAGAGATTAAGAAAAACAGGGGTCCCAGAACAGAACCCGGTGGAACCCCTGACGTAGTGCTTGTTAGTCGCGATTTGTCATCGTTAGTGACGGTGTATTGAACGCGAGAGGCAAAAAATTAGTAGTCCAGGAAAGTACTAAAAGGTCTAATTGTAGAGTTGGTAGCTTAGAGAGAATATGTTGACAAGGAACGCGATCAAAATCTTTTAAGAAGTCCAGAAACGTTTTGTCAGTTTGTACATGGCATTCATGGTTAGTATGTAACTCGTGACCAAATTCGCATAGCTGGGTCTCGCAAGAGAGACCCCTGCGGAAGCCATACTGATGTATGAAGAGAAAATTGTCTCTAGACACGTGAGTCATGACATGCGAACACAAGACATGCTCTAGAAATTTAGACGAAATGGAGGTTAGTTGCTTTACGTCAAGATTATTTTCTGAATTGTTTTAAATTAGGCATAATTTAAGGAAACGACAGTCGACACTGCATACCAAAGCAATATATACATTTAAAATTAACACAAATGATGCAGGTGCTGCAAAACAAGCACTGTACGTTTTAACTTCTATCCTGCGACTGGTGTACCGTTTACATTTTGCGGCTCAGGTGACACCTTCTGGTTCATCTGATGTATTCCACGAGACCTAAAGAAAATTGCTGTCCCTCGCTATGACAACCTTTGTGAGTACACTTTTACGGATTTTTTTATAGTTTGGAGCCAGGCACGCTTTCAGACATATCAGCACCGTTGAAGGACTTCGCAACCTGATACAAGCTACTGTCAAACACGAACGCAGTCATGTTGTAAAACATAATATTTTGCTTCTCAATGTTTAGATACTGAATCTTACTCTGTGGTGGGAACGAAGTTGTTTTGGCAGTGAAACGATTAGGACGCAAGATCTATACAATTTCGCTTTCTGTGATAAACAAAAACTGAACAAATAACTATAGTACGTGAATGCAGAACGACGCAAACCACGCGTTGATTCTCATTAATCCGAATCGTTAACGGTCACGTGCAATTATTCGAGGCATCTCGCAAACACCTGGTATGCACTGTTAACTAAGTGTTACAGGGGACATTACATTCACATTTAATACACCTCCACCGAAACTTTCAGGTTAAATATATGTATTGGACAGTTTCAGATAATCTCATAAAGCACCCGCGAAGACTAAGTTACTCATACATATGCTATCTATCGCGCATAAAAAATATAATAAAGAACAATGCAAGATAATTTAAAGTGCTCACCGGTGGCTTTCCTAAGCTGGTCCAACTGCTCAACTTCATCTCCTTCCTGTAGGCGCAAACAAAATGCAGCGTAATGTTATTCGTAATAGACACGCTATTTTCACTATTTGAAAACCGAAATGAAAATCAAAATACTCACATTGTTTCCTAGTTGCCGGAAAGCATGCGCAAAGACGAACGACGTTAGAAACACACATCAAAACCGACTGATAAGATCAGGTAAACTCGGCAATAATATCGCAGCTGTATGATAACTCAAAATAGAGGCGCAAGAATGTTAGTATACGCTCTCAAAAATTACGACTATAAATATGCTAATAGAAGTGCTAAGTGTATTTTCTTGACCAAAAACTTTTTTTAAGGTTCGCACGACTTAGTTGCACGTTTTAATTTATAGTAATATTAGGAATATGTAATCTATATTTTCTGTGCCTCAAAACCACCAGATAGGCCCTCCCTTTAGAACACAAAGGTGATGATAATTTTAATTAAAGAGAGACTATAAAAAGTTAAAGGTGGCACAAGAAAAAAAGATAGACACGGTTAGCACAAAATATACTACATGCCAGCTTTTTTCGGGAAAGTGCCTGCATGATCACTAAATATATCTAAGCTGGATGGTGCGATTTTATAAAATGATGTCTGCACACGTGACACTGGCGAGACATTACAGATAGAATGAACGTAAAAAACATTAAAATATTCAGTAACACGTGAAGGAATATCAAAATTCACACTACTCAAAAGTAGGTCACAATCAAACGCACCACTAACAACGTTGTGCAAAAAAAAATCACGTCAATTCAACAAAAGCAGTATTAAAACGCTACCAAGAAAAATTCATTATTATAATAAAAACGACGCTTAAAGTGTTTATCATAAACAATACATATCAATATATTTTCAACAAAATCAACGCTTAATAGCTGCGTAGCTGTTACCAAGTTTCAAATAACTAAAACGAATTGTAGCCTGGATCGTACTAAAAAAAATAATAATACATGCAGAGTTTCTGAACTGGTTTGAACTAGGATATATTAAACCTAGCGTTGTCATTGCACTGTCCGCGATATAAAACACGTGAGCACTGAATGATAGCGCACTATCAAGGTACGGGCCGAGATACTTTGAAACAGTCACACGTTCAACTAGCATATTTCTCAACGTATAGGTGAAATGCACAACATCATGACGTCTACTCAAAGACAGCATTTTATTTTTGGTAGGACTAAGAAACAGATAATTGGCTGTGCATCATTGCAGTATGTTAATCATATCGTACTGAAGACCATTTCAATCAACACGCTAATCAGCACCATGAAAGTACCTTGATATAATCCGCAAAATTTGCACCTGCGTTTTGTTAGTAGGCAATTTATTATTTACAAATATTAAGAACAGGAGCGACCCAAGAGTAGACACGTGGGGGACGGCTTAAGCTGAACTGAATATATTAGAGCGCGTGTCGGAAATCCGGACATTATTCGCACGACATTGCGCATTGCATTTATACAAGATAAGTAATTCAGAACAATAGTCGTAAAACGATCTTTTGTGCAATAACGGATCAACTTTGTCAAATACTGTAGACATGTCAAAATGAACCCAATTCACATGTTGCCCACTCATAAAATAGGTGCAGAAGTATAAAAAAGAACACAAATTGTTTTCACCCGATCGATACTTTATAAACCCCTGCTGCGAAGCCGTTAGTTTCGGTCGAAAATAAAACTTGCTGAGTTCATACCAGTGTTGGACAAAATACTCGATAAAAGTATTTAAGTTAAGTTACTAAATACCTGCTTCATAAAGTATTAAAAATAATACTCAAGTTACTTTCACTGTAAAGTATCTTGAGTAGAGTACAAATACTTAGAAATGTATGTCAATTACTTTTGAAGATACTTCCGCATTGCTTAATTTGTATCGACGTCATTGACTACGACACTTATACAGCTGCGCAAATCTGGTTTACCAAAACGGTTTCTTAGCACGCAACAACACAAAACGGCAAAAAAAGCATCGTACGGTTATTTTATGCAGTCATATTATATCGAGCAGGATATTGTCACGACTGAAAAATGATAAGGCGGCGAATAACTGAAGAAACTAAACGTTTAATGGGGCGAACTTGTGCCCAAAACAAAATAGAGAAAGACTAGCGTCGCAGGCGTCGATGTCGGCGAAACAGCAGGATCGAGCGCTGGGGCGAGACTGACTCTGGACCGCCACACGGAGCACCTTTTGTACCCGCGTGGATTTCTGGAACATCCGGCGTAGAACGTTCGGCGCGTAGAACATTCGTAACTCGATCAGACGACGAGGTTTTCAACTTGCGAGAATGTCAAGCTGAAAGAATAAATAAAAAGAAGAGTCTGCTCCCTGGAATCGACCCCGGAGACTTGGCGCGAGAGCCAAGCGTGGCAACCATTCGGACACGCATTCGGCCTGCAGCGCGCGTGGCAATATGACTGATAATGTTACAAAACATCTCTGGGACAAAAAGAAAGGTCGCTTTGGGGAGGAGATCAGACCGTGGTGCCCTAAGCGGTTGACTTTAGAACTACATGGCTGGGGAGAACAAATACAATGACTCAGCGCTCGGCTGACATGACCGAATGCGGCGTCAGCGTTCCGCTGGAGTTCGTGTTCTCCGGGGAGGAGGAGGAGGTGCTCTTTTGTTACCACTCCGGCTTGCATGAACAATGCAGCATGCACGGTATCCAACTCAGCACAAAAGCCGAAGTGGGTCAAGCTCGCATCCTTTGACGACTGCTTTCACTTTCGGGAAAGATCCGGCACTTAACGTCACTTCATTCATTGTTTTGTATTTTTACATTATACATTACACTGTGACCCGCGCTCTATTGAAAAAAAATGACATTGACATTCCCACAAGGCCTGTGGGCACGTGCACAGGCCTTGTGTTGGGTAAACACCGAGGTGTGGGGACAACAAACGGGACAAAGCGCCTCGACAATAGTGACATCGCTGAATATCACGTCTTGCGGCGCACCTTAGACGTTAACTACAATATATATAAACTTGGGAGACTGATATCAGTGAATGGATAACAAAAAGAACCTACATAATAGCAACGGCACTGGTCGCACCTTCTTCAAGTATTTTGCATCCTGAAAGGCACTCAACGTTGGGGGACACTTTGTTGGCTTTTTGAGTGGTCATCCAGCTCGTAGTTCATTTCTTTTCCTGTTCTCTGCTTAACAATGATCGTTTACAGACAGTGTTCTCTAGAGCAATAAGTGCCAAACTGACACCAAAAAAAAGTAAAAACCTCGACATTTTGCAGTGGGGTTGTCAAATGAACAAGCAAAACAAGTCTTATTTTTGGTTCCACTTCTCATTTTCTTCTATTTTTTTAAGCTCAAGTCTGCATTGTTGCCGTAGGTCGTTTCCCTGTCTGCGTTGAGCCTCAGTGTGGCAATCTTTACTTCCGTAAAACCACCCCTTTTGTTTGAGGATTTTTGGAAGGAAACTCTAGGAAACAAAAGGCGTCTTTGGAAAAGCGAGGGGAAAAGCCTCATTGTACGAGCTTTGGGCTGAAATATGAATCAAAATCGGCAATAAATCGAAGTTTTCACGAGCTCAGTCAAAGTCACCGTAGCTAATCGGAGCTAGCACCAGGATTTGGTTGCTTGAAAGATTGTTCACGTTTGCTCGTGCCACGCCCATGCCACTTCACACCGATAAACTCGGAAAATGGCGGAATGTCAAAAATGTATTTGAGATAATGAGTACCAGATACCTAAAAATGTAATTAAAATCGACTATTAAATACGCTCGATCAAAAGTATTTGCAAGATACCAAGATACTTCAAAAGTATTTGAACTACAGTATCTTGAGTAGAGTAGTTGAGATAGGCACAAGTCTGGGTCATACACAACCTTCTCAAGCACATCAGAAAAAACACACAATAATAAAATCGGGCGATAATTACTGACAGCTTAAGCGTCACCCCCCCCCCCCCCTTTAAAATTGGCACGACTATCGCTTCTCTTTTCTTTATTTTTTATTTTTTTACAACAGTGGGAATACGTTAGAACTAAGTGATAGATTAAAACGGTGCTTCAAAAGTCGCTTAAAACAAGTCATCGCAACCCTCGATGATAAAAAGTTTGATAAAGTCTTCGCCAGAAGATAACCTTGGTTCGAGGGTCCGGATACCTTCCAAGATTTTTTGTCATTATTGCCTCTAAAACCAGGCAACAAATCCTTAACTTGGACGTCGCTAGGCTTTATATTTTGCTGCTGGATTGTTTGACAGTTGCTTAAATAATCAGCAAAGGAGTCTGCCGCCTCTTTAACAGAGGCAATGTAGCCATTATTTTGAGCAGGATCGTACAAGGAAATTCATTCTACACCGATACGAGTGTGCAGCTTTTCACACTTTCGAACGGTTTTGTGGCAGTAATTCAAACCGCTCTCGACATGGTTAAATTAAATCCATTTATCACGCGAGTAGAATTTTTAGGAAGCGCACGATAAGTATTAAATTTTGAGTACCAGTCTATAAAGCCCGTCTTTTTAAAGAGTATGTGATAAGGAACTTCTTCTGTGAAAATTTTCAGATCCTTGCAAAACCAGTTGTGTCGTATAGAAATAGGTTTACGTTTAGGAACAAAATTGTCTATCGCGTCATCAACAACCGAAGTAAACACCTCTGCTGCCAGTTCAGCATTGTCTATTGCAAAGATATCGCTGCAATTATAGTTATGATTGTCTTTATGCGTTCCCAAATAATCGCCTTTGGGGTAGCGGTACGCATCGGACCTGTGCAACGAGCTCAGCTTGCTTGGAATATATATGTGTCTTAACCATAAAAGCCAGATGATACATATCCATGAGTACTAAATGAATAAGAACGCTAAGAATGGCGTCCAATACAATATTTTACAAGACTAGATCAAGAACAGTACATGCGTTGTTTTTAATCTCCTAAATTCATTTATTCCACAAAAATGTGTAAAAGATAGTAACCAAGCTGCCTTATCTGACGTGGTTAAATCGCTGCTTTTCCCAACTCTCGACGACATATTTATTCCCGGTAGGCTAAAATCTTCATACATTTGAACTTTGTACCTATTAAAACTAATTTTTTTAGGCATTAACAGAACTTTAATAAAGA